GGCAAAAAGATAAAAATCCTTGCTCGTTGAACTTTTTGCCATAAAAAGAGGAAGATAAATTTATAAGATATAACACATACACACAAAGAAGAAGCACCTTTTACACTAACACTGGCTTACGCAAGATTGGAGAATCAAATGCAGATAATGTTTCTGGTTTAGAAACTGCAATGTGGATTGAATTTTTGATGTGTGTCCTAAAACGGTATGGCTTTCCCTCACCTTTTGCCCATATAATTTACTATCTTTATAAATTGTTTTTTCTCAATCCATTAAATTACACCTTACTACCAATAAAAGTTGCCCCTTATATCTTTTCAACCTGTCTTTCAGTTGTAAGAATACCCTTCTTGCTATAGTCAGTGCATTTGAAAGGACATTATATTTGCATATATCCTTTTCTAATCACTTTCAGACATGGCTTATTAACTGTTTTTCAATTTTATTATTATTCTTTGGATCAACAAGTTCTATTGCACTAGGTGAATTTCCTTCAAACCTTTGTAAAATAAGTTTTAACTACAGTTCAGAGCTTTAAAAACTGGGGTAGGAAATAAGTAGCAAAAAAATAAACAGTAATTAAAATTTTGATTTTAGAGATCCACAAGCAGACTAAGGGTCCAGATAAATTTTAAAAAAATCTGGAATTAATTATAATTATTCCATGTAAAATTGCTCTCAGAATGAAGAGCAGAATGAAGCAAAATAGCTATTTCTATGTAAGACTATGCATTATATTAGTTCAGAAGTGCATTATGTCTAAGTCTCAGTACAGTGCTGCGAGTATGGATCTTCTGGAGTATAAGGGGACTGCAGGTCATGTGATGGGCTGGTATTGAGTCTCTCCCAGCATGCTGGTCACATGATGCAATGGTATTCAGGTAGCTGGTCTTCCACTTTCTCTCTTGCCTCTCTCTCTTTCTCTTGAGCTGCCAGCTGGGTTCTCCTTCCAAATCCTCTGCTCCTTTGTTGATTCTTCTGCTTGCCTCCCTTTCACTCAAACTCTTCTCTCCCTCACACTTGCCCCGCAGAATCCTCTCCTATTCTATTCCCTTATCTCCCTCAGGCTTGTCCCACAGAAGCCTCTCCTCTCCTATCCCCCTTCTCTCCCTCAGGCTGGTCCCCTTGATCTATTCCCTTATCTCCCTCAGGTTTGGCCACAGAAGCCTTTCCTCCCTATCGTCTTCTCTCCTTCTCTCTCCTCTCCTTTTCCCACTAATCTCCCTCCTTTTATATTCTTTCCTCTCTCCTTGCCTCATCTTTTCCTCTCTTCCAGGTGTGTCAGTCTCTGGGGCTCAGGCAGAACTTCAGTATCAGCTCCTGTTCCAGCCTCACCTGCCCCATGCGGTTACCCACTGTCCAGCTGGCCTTTGCATGTAGCACTCATCAACTGGAGCTGGGTATGTTGATTCTGGGGTCTCTCCTGAGTCCTGACAGCCCACAACTCCAGCTGACTCCTCTCCCCAAAGCTGTATTTTGCTTCTAACTGGATGATGACAGCCATTATTACTACCTTTAATACCAATTAATAACAACATCTGCCTATCTTAGGTGGACTCAAAAGATGCCACATCCATTCTACAAATCTGGATGAGTGTGCAACCATCCATAATAGCTATTCTGAGATTCTCCCTAACATACTTCATCCCTACAGCCAATTTTTATCACCAAGGTCTTTCCTTAGCTTTTTTTATCATGCCCAAGTGTCCTTTACAATGGTAAAACCCTTGAAGTTCTTGTTTAATTTTATTAGATTTATTCTTGCAGTTATGAAATATATTAAAAATACTTTTTTATATTTAGAGATAAGCTGGCTTTCTGTGGATTCCAGAGGTTGGTATGTTTCTTTAACTTACAGCTAAAGTTAATATTTCTTCCAATGGGTTTGGATCCAGTGTAAAAACCAGACAACTTTAAATCAGCCTAACTAAACATCTATTAACAAAGTCTACTCCCTAGGATTCTCTCCAGAGACCTTCTACTTATCTGTGACTTTGATGTTTAAATCAGCCTAAGTCTGGTTCAAAGCATTACAGCTCTTGGGATTTTTTTCAAAAGAGTATGTCAGCTTCCACTCCATCACATTTCTGAAATTTCGTCAGATCTTTGAGCATGTTGGATATATTGCCCTCTGCCACTTTGCTAGAATAGTACAAAAATACTATGCCAATGCCAAAGTTTTATGCTTCTTTATATTTTCTCTATAGGGAATCCTGGATAAGTTTCATCTTCTATCCTATGCTGAAGAAATTTTCTAGTAAAAAACAGGGCTTCTATTTGTTGCTTCTTTTGTCTCACAAAGGATCCATATATATCCTCCTAGACTGTTCAATTTTGTGCTTCCATATTCCCTGTGATTTATGAACTGTATTAGTTTTAATTTTTAATTTATTATTTAACGCTTATAGTTACATATGTAATGTGTGTGTGTTTGTGTATGCATATGCACAGATGTGCATAGTTGTATTTCACTTCTAGATAATCTTATTTTACTGTCACTGTCAGGAAACTATATTAAAAAGGCATTTTGCATTAGCCACAACTAGTTAGCACCTTTTGCTGGAATCAGTGTTGCCTGTGGTTGTGCTTGTTTTCAACAAAGAACTTTATTTTTTATAATTAGGTAAGAACCCCTAGAGAAAACAAGGCCTCTGAAATGGTTTTGGAAGCCATCCAGGGAGAGGACATTTCCACCCTATTTTCTCCTGTAGATCTGGCAAATGACATTTGTCAATTAATGCTCACTAAGGCAAAAAGACACAACCATACATAAACACAGAAGGAAAAAAGCACACACAGAAGAACATGACAGCTGTTGTTGTGCATACTTGGATAAAATGAAATGCATATTGGTATGGGATTAAGGTGAAATTTAAAGGCTTAGAATTTGTGCACAGTATTGTTATATAGCAGTCCTGAACCTTTTTGGCACCGTGTGCTGAAATGTGAGTATGTACGCACATGTGCAAGAGTGCTGGAAATCAGAAGAGCAGTTTCCCGCATGAATGCTCTGTGAAGCTGAGCTTCCGGTTTCCAGTGTGCGCATGCACCTGTAACTTGGTCTTCAGGTTTCTGATGCATACATGTGCAAAGACCAGCTAGCTGGTGTGCATGTGCACGCTGGAACCCAGAAGACCAATGGGTGATGGCTGGCATGCTCTGAGAGATGGCTCTGTGTGCCTCTTCCACCACACATGCCACAGGTTCTCCATTATGGCTATCACTATTTTGTACATGATTCCAATATTTTTTTCTTTTTTGGTGTATGTTTTATTCTTTTTATTTTAGATTCTGACTAAAGCAGTAAATGCCTTTCGACTCTTAAATGAATTTTGGCTGATGATTTTTATTTAGTGTAGATCTTACCTAACCCACATACTGGAAAAATGTTGCAATAAAGCCCATTGGACTCCATAGTAAGCTTTTCACATGAAATTGTTTAGTGTGTGGCTAATGCACAAAATGTTCTGGCCTCCAAAGAATAAGTGGACTTTGGAAGAGGTGAACTGTCTACCTACCTCAAACTGGCATTGCTTTCCAGCAACTACAGGTAGTGTGTAAAATATAGAGAGACAAGAAGGAGAGGAGAGGAACCATTAAAGTTCTCATTGTGCCCCCCCCCCCCCCGATTTATGGTTTATGTTTTGTAAGTAGTTGATAAATTAAGAAAGCACCTGACATATTATCCTGTGGCAGATGAATTTGGTCAGAAGCCTTTGGTGAAGGATGATGTCAAAGACTTGGCTCCAGAGCCATTTGTTTCTAAAGTATTAGGTGCAGTTGTGATAAAATTCTCATTGTTGTTACCAAATTGTACTGAATGTGATGTAAGTATAAAAATATCAAATGCATACATGCAGAGAAATCATATTAATTACATTTACATTTAGTTTGAGAATATTACCAATTACCTCCAATAGACTGATTAGATCCCACAGATTAGGCCTCCTCTGAATTCCATCCGCCGGCCAATGCCGACTGGCGACTACCCGGAAGAGAGCCTTCTCTGTGGCTGCTCCGACCCTCTGGAACGAGCTCCCCGTGGAGATTCGAACCCTCACCACCCTCCAGGCCTTCCGCAAAGCCCTTAAAACCTGGCTGTTCCGACAGGCCTGGGGCTAAAGAGCTGTTGCCCCCCGTCTCGAATGGTATGACTGTTGTGTGTTTTTAAATTATGTATTGTTATGTTTCGTCTTTTTATTTCTTGTCTGTACCCCCCTTCCCTGATTTGAATTGTGAGCCGCCCTGAGTCCCCTTTGGGGAAAAGGGCGGCATATAAATGAAATGAAATCAAATCAAATCAATCAAATCAAGGCTGAATAATCAGAGATCCCTTTGATTCAAAAAACCCCTCTCCAATATTATCATCAGGTTAAACTTGTTACAGTGACAAAATTATTAAATGCATGGGGAATTCTTATATTCAGGTTATGCATGTAAAACTTTTTGATCTGAATTTTTTTTTCAGTTCTTCATTCTGAAAGCGATTGCATACCATACAGTAAGGAGGGCAGCATTTTATATATTTATCACAGTTCAACAAGACTTTTTTAAGGCAGGGGTGCCCAACCCCCAGTCTGTGGATCAGCACTGACTGTGCAAACAAGCAAAGCCCCATCTGTGGGATTTAGGCAGCACACAATACCATGTCCCCTCCGGTCCACGGAAAAAACTCTCTTCATGGAACCAGTCCCTGATGCCTAAAAGGTTGAAGGCTACTGTTTTAATGGATTTTATACATGACTGTTTTCTCCAGGCTAATAGACTATATGATTGCTTTTTATCAGAAGACTCTTTTATGCACTTATATAACTCCTTATTATAATTTCCTGTTTTGCTTGTTTTTATACTTATTGCTTATTATCTTATTGCCAATAGTCTATTAAAACTATTGTATTCTTTGCAAACAATCTTTTCCACAATTCCTTAATTTTAAAATCTCTTTAGTTCCAATCATGTGCATTACAATTTATTTTCCAGAATATTTTTTCCATACATACCTTGCAAATCTTTTTTGGGGCCAGACCCACTTCTTTCATTTTTTTTCATGTTTAAGCTTGATTTTTGCTTCTGTTTAACAGATGTTTTGCCAATGGCAGGAAATTTAGCTTCTGATTTATTCCCATGAGATTTTACATTGGATTTTGGATCACTTCCAGAAATTTCAGCAGACGGGGTCTGGTAATTTGAAAAGAAATTTTTAACTATTAACAATAAAATTAATTTTAACAGCCCATATACCAGTATTAGGAGAATTACTTTCTCTTTAGAGGAATTTCTTTTTCTGTTTAATTTTTATTGAGGCAAATATAAGTCTTTAAATTATGGCTGGAAAAATTAAACTCCTTTTCCTCAAATGAAGAAATTTCCTGCCTCTGCCTCTGTAACAAATATTAATAGCATTAGAAATAGTTTGGCTCAAAATTATTTTTCACCTTTGTTTATGAAACTACTGTAAGTTGGTACATCTGCTGCAGCACAAGCGCCTCTGTCTCCAATGTGGCATCCACGTACACCATCTACTAATATTACCACTAAGATTCATGAGATTAAATCCTACTATTTTTTAAAAGACTCTCTGAAGCAAAAATATTAAATTGGAATGTAGCATGTTACAATGATACAGCATTAATTTAATTTCCATTTAGAACCCATGTAGATATCAAAAGGATTCTTAGAAAATAAATAAAGTGGTAGCTGCAACCTATTACCAGTATTTATTTAGAAGTGTGTCCACATGTCCAAAAATAAAGGTATGCTAAAATGATAGACAGATGCTTTTAAGATGTTGAGCAGTCTAGTAATATTTGTCTTCTATTAAGTATTATAACTAACCATATCTTCCATTCTAGCAACATTGTAAGAATGTTTGTGATATATTATACATACATACATACATACATACATACATACATACATACATACATACATACATACATTCAAAATTTTAAATAAGTTTGAAAAGGTGGGAAGCCTCTACTCAAATTCAAAAGATATCCAAGTATGTTGCAACAAAAACTACAGTTTTTTTTTTAAAAAATACTTTTATAAATATTACTATTCAAATTCCCTGTTCTAGGAAATTTATTCCATAAGACTGTCCTGAACCTGCCTTGGTGCTCATATCCTTCAATTCCTACTCTCTCAAACAGGGCCACTTGGAAGCAGCTTGGAAGACATATGCACTTCCATATTATTTAATCTTCCCATCAGAACAAGACAGTAAGGATCAGAATGAGCAAAACAAGTTCTCCTACCATAGTATACTAGAATGAAAGAAACTAATAAAAACCTTTCATATCTCCTAGATCCATTGGATCTGGGTGGCTAACAAATTCAAATTTTAAAAAAATCAAAATAAATAAACTTGGTCTAAACTCTCATCTAGAAAGAAATTGCTCTTATTTCTCTTCTTATAAGAAGTAAACAGAGCTGAAGTCAGGAGATGCAACTTTTCAGTATTGTGCAAATATGAAATTGAAGTTGATGGCTGAATATGATAAAAAAGATGAAAGTAAACTATGCATGAAAATAAGTGAAATGCTTAACAAATGGTTCACAATGCCAAGCAGGGAGTGTTAAATATATTTATAGATAAATGTATATGAATGCTTGTGGTGATTAAGTTAAAGATACGTTTCCTGGGAATGTGAATGCTTGTGTATTGCTGTAAGCAGAAGATTCAGTATTCTGATATGGAGCGTATGTCAGACTCTGAGTTAACTAGAAATTTGAAAATTAAAACATACAAGACAAAGAATGCATGATACAATAAGAAGTTTAATCTATGAGGCAGTTGTTTTTCATTGGAAAATTGAATATATAATTGCAAGTTATACATATGATGAAAAATTAGACCAAATAAATGAACTTGTATAACATGAGGAAATGGAGATAAAAATGTGTTCTGGCCCCCACTTAGCCTATTCCAAAACTAAAGTCACACAAAGCTGGCCAAAAGAAAGTCTTTATCAGTCTCGGCTCA